AGATTCAATGCTGGAATTTCAACAAATATTCCGCTATTTCCTACCTTGTCTAGTTCACAATATCATTACCGTATTTTATAAAGGCTTAAACTTATTTAAATGCACCCATATTTTATAATTTTGTGTATATTGACTTTAATAAGTTTTGTGAAATTTGAACTCAAAAGCAACTTAAAGTAATACGATATTTGCTAATCGCTCACCTTTACTGATTAAAATACTTTCAACTTTCTATTAACTTAAAACTATCAAAGCGGTGGGTGTATCGCGAGGACATTAAATACTACTCCGGGTTTAACATTATTGTGTTATATTACAAAAGCCTGAACTTAACTTCTAAGCTCTTAAGCCTCGTTTACACACTAGCGAGGCGTCGCGCAGCTCGTCTTTCATTTGTTGTACATTGATTGCAGCAGCACACCGTATCACAGCTACCAACTCACACATATGAACAATAAAAGCAATGTATATCTTCCTGCAAGACGCGTAAACGAGGCCTAAGATGAACGCGTCAAGAATGCATCCAGTGGCGAAGAAGGATACAGTTACAATGAGTGTTTATGTTCCCGCCATGTGTGATGTGGCCGGAAACATTTAGCTGCCTTGTGTCTATGGTAAATGTCTACTGTCAATAAGACGTGTTTATGGTACCTCGAGAATATAACGCAGACTACTGCAAGGTGAAGTTGCTATTTGCAATGTTCGTTTAGAACAGTTTGCACATTTATCTTTTGTCCCTAGATAAAATTACTAGATGATTAATAATTGTAATAAAATTGTCTTAAGCAAATTCCCACCCATAAACACTGGTGTGTAGGTAGATTATATAAATATGTACCAATAAGCAATAATTTAGTCGCCCTAAGCATTACAAACTGTCTTATAATTCTAGGGAACTGAATTCAAGTCTGGAGAAAGGTAAAATTTCTCCTCTTTGGACGTAAGAAAATGGTACTGGCACAGAACCCATCAACCCATGGTGCGGATAAAAAATATTTTATTAAATACCGACATAGAAATTTAAAAAACTGTGATGGGATTACTTGCTGACCTACATCTGCTCAATACCTTGGAAAGTAGAAGACATAATGAAACCAAAATCGGTGTTATGTAAACAATGACTGTACCACTATCTAGGCTATCAAATCTGAACGAAGCATAAACATAATGATACAACATCAGCAAAACACCACATCTCATGAATTCCGTTACTAAATATGACAGCAAGAAGTTTACACATTATAACGGGCTGGTAATGATGGCCATTCATGGACCAGGATTATGCAAAGCGTTGGATGTTCGGCGGCAATGGCGGTGACAGCTAACCGCAAGGATGGAGAGCAACCCGTTATGTTATGCAATATAATAAATGGTTAAATAGGTGAACGTTAACCAAAAAATATTAAGAACGTCTAATTGTGAGAAACTTTGAATAACTAACTTTTGCACTTTTGTTGGCTCGTGGACATCATTATCATCTAATATTATAATGTAGTGGGTAATCTTTGGAACCGCTGGTCGGATTGCCAAAATTCTTTTACTGATAGATAGCTACAATGTTTCTGAGTGCTATAGGCATGCATCTTAAACATCAGGCTACGAATAAATGGAGCCGAGATAATAAAAGATTATTTATAATAAAATTAAAACAACAAATTTTATTAAAATCTCCTATATTTAATTTGATAATTTACTGGCCCGCGACTTTGTTCGCGTGGAATAGACTCAAACTATCCTATGTCCTTTCTCGAGTTCCAAACGAGTACCAAATTTCACACGAATGGGTTCAGTAGTTTAGGCATAGCGTAAAGATAAGACAGACAGAGTTACTTTCACATTTATTATAAATGCGATTAGTTTGGATTACCTGTAAATAAACTTTTGTGTAATTTACTCAGTTTGTTTCATATGGTTACTGTGTTACGTTGGTTGCGTTACTAGCCTATGACTCGTGCAAGTCTTTTAAAAAGTGATTGTTTTTTAAAACACATCGCACCTATTTTAATACCTAACTCTTACCTAACTTAAATTTAAGTCTATACTTAACCTCAGCAATATAAAAGTATGTACGAGGCTCCTAGAAGTTTTATCATAGCAAGAATTAAGTAACATATACATACAATAATCCAATAGTTACTCACTTCTTTGCCATAGATAACATAAGTGATATACGAAAATGTTTTTGGTATAAACTCTCATGTACATGTACATGTGAACATGTAGTTTACGAAGTTCAAAGGAGCATGTATAATGCATTCAATTAGTCTAGTATTGTGAATTAATGTTTGATGTGAATACTGGTGAAAGATTAGCACGAGGTTGACCACGACCGGCGCCTGTTTCTTTTTTAAGGTTGTTGTATAGTGGACATTAAGTTAAAAGCTACAAACTTTAACATAGGTACCAGATTCTAGATTTATTTTCTCAAACTTTTTCAGGTCGCTATAGTTTCTACTATATATATACACCTAGTGGAATTTATTACTTATAAAACTCAGTCTAATTAGGAAAAATAAACAGAGCTGTGAGACCTTTTAGTCAATCGTCATTTATGAACATTACCAGGATTTGGATATACCTAAATACTTCTATTTCTTATTACAAGCTTTTGTCCGCGACTCCGTTCGCGTGGAATAGTGACTTCCTGCAGATTTTTGGTCTAAAACTATCCTATGCCCTTTCTAGAGTTTTTTAATTACACAAAAATCGGTTCAGTAGTTTAGGCGTGAAGAAACAACAGACAGACGGACAGAATTACTTTCGCATTTATAATATTAGCTTGGATAATTATAAGTTTATTATTTATTACACAAGAAGAATATTATTGCGTAAGCTAGTAGGTACTTACATACATGAACACTAACAATTGTTTTCTGCATAGGTATGCTACTTTTGCAATGTTTAACCATAAAAAACGAAAACCCTTTTAATAGTTAGCGTTCTACAATTCCATAAGAAATAACAGCCAACATGCAGAGTGATAAATGAGTAGCGACTTGCCTGTGGTGGTATGAGGAACACTTATTATGTAATCCTAAGTAACGGGTAGTACTTATTAATGAAGGAAAGGCGCCGACTAGTCACAAATACTTGGATAAAGTCTGGTATTTTTTATTCCAATACCAGATACCTGATCGTTAGTAACAGTTACAAAGTATCAGTGTGCTTCTACCGTTACATATCTTACCCCACAGGTTTTTATTTAAACTAGCTTTCGTCCTTTCTAATTGACTTGTTAAGTAAATTTATTTGTTGGTAGCTTTTAACAGATTTACCTACGGTGTTAAGCTCTGCAATAAACTTGATTTAATTCCTTAGTGGTCGATAGCTCACTAATGATTAGGTAATTATAGTTAATATAAATTATATATTATTATTTATTTATTTCCTAAATAATGCAGTGTATACCAATAACACTATTCAGGATGAAAAAAAAAAGTTAGACGTTAGTAGGTAACAATTTAAAGTACGTAGGTACAAAAATAGGTTTAAAAAAACATATATTTGTTACATAGCCGTCGGCATGTCAAAGTCATAGGTATTTTAGGGTTTCCATTGTGTAATAGTTAGCTCTCAATTCTTCCATTGTGTAATAGTTTGTTGGTGCGGTGGCTGGGCAACTGGCTGCCGTGCAACGTGTCGCGGGTTCGATTCCCGCACGGAACAACTCTTTGCGTGATCCACAAATTATTGTTCCGGGTCTGGTTGTTATGTGTATATGAAATTGTAAAAAAATCTCCTCGCTCCTCCTAAACCACCTTCAACCTCCCAAGATTTTGAATCTAGGAGGATCCGAATTCAAATTTCAAGGGTACCTACATTTTTATCAACGTTAATTATAGCTACATGTATGATGTCTCAGGTGTTGCAGGCCTGTCCGTAGGCTATTTTGACCGTTTTCTGTCAGACGGTCTGTACTGTGATATCAATTCGGCTTTTTTTCTGCTCATGCCATAACTCCACATCCACATAACTTAATTTTCAAAAAAAAAAACATTATTACCCTCTCCTGACAATCCAACAAACAAGGAATTCTCGTAATTGGAGCAGGTCTTGTTTGAGTTATGAACTTATCAACACATTTTGCAATTCATTTATTTATATAGGTACCTATATAAGTATAGATTCTATACACACTACGCTGCATCTTCTATGGTATAAAAGATATACCTGCATAGTGTAGATAATTTAAGTGCGGGAGAGCCAAGCTTTCAAGCTTGGCGGTCGAGCCGACACATTCATGTGTCGGCTCGACCGGAGTGATACCACGGCCTCACAGAAAACCGGCTTGAAACAACCACACCGTTGTGTTTCGCCGTGTGAATGAGGTAACCGGAGGCCCAGTCCCTCCACCTTCCCCAATTCCTTCCCAATCCTTTAATATCCAAAACCCTTATCCTTAAAAGCCAGTAATGCACTCGTAACTCCTTTGGTGTTGCGGGTGTCCATGGGCGGCACCGATTGCTTACCATCAGGCAATCTGTCAGTTCATTTGCCGTCCTATACTTAATATAAAAAAAATCATAATAAGTATAATTTCAAATGTTACAGAACAGAATTAAATCGTGCGTTTGTTATTCTCAGTGCGGAATATCCCTAAGGCTATATAAAACTATTTATTTCCCGTCAGTGGAAGGTTGCGTTGTTTTATAGGGAAACATGGATTATGGAGCTTGCTTCAAACTAAAATAAATCATGACTACCTCGTTAGCAGGCACCAACACAACAAATCACTGATGAAGAGATTCTAACATCGATTTTTAGTTTAATCAGAATATTAGGGAATTATAACATTACATTAGATCGGCCTTTGTCCAACAGTTGACGTTTTCCGGCTGATGATGATGAAGATGATGATAACATTACACGAGATTGATCCCCAAGAGGGTCATTTTTGTTTTTGAGCGGGAAACATCATCAAATTAGGTAGATACTTTATCCCTCCTCCGTCTTCGCGTCTAGAGTGATCCAGAAAGACTGAATGCAAAGCCGTGTCAATCATGCCATCATTATGTCCAGAGGTGGACGAAAGCGGGATGTTGATCATGCTGATGTTATGTGACAGTCCACTGGTAGACTGTGGGCCTCTTTTTCTTAGGTTTTTTTGTGAGGGGAAAATCATATCATAAATGGAAATTATTTGATGATTTTCCACTCAGGGTCGGGCGAGAGGGAGTGTCAGACTTTTACTGACTAAAATCCCCGTTCCTTCTCCTGCTCTGGGGCGAGGCGGCGGTGCCTCATTGCGATTACCCCGCAACCCCGGCTGCTCTTTTTCTTAGGTAAGGTAAAATTTAATTCATTGGTACCTACCTAATCCAAAATTTAGGGTAAGTAAGGAAATAGTTGCACTTTGTTTAGGTAGGTACTTATTACAAATCAGTACATTGCAGAGCCGGGTCACATTTGAACTTATAAAATATGCATACAATGCCAACATTCATAAAAAACACTACACTAATAAACTAATCTTTATTGCTGTAAAAGTGATTGTGTTGGTACCTAAGAAGATACCTACCTATTTATTATGAATAGATACCTAGATTAGTCGCTAATGCGATACACGCAACACGATTACAAAATAGAAGCTAATAATAAATGCAACGCTCAATGCTACTTCAATGATAATGTACCTAATTATAGATATACCAACTGCGAAGTTGTTCTAGTACCCTGAGGTCTTTGTTATCTGTGGATATTAATCCTTAATTTCGACTTCCCGTTCAGCGGTTCCATGGTGTAATGGTTAGCACTCTGGACTCTGAATCCAGCGATCCGAGTTCAAATCTCGGTGGAACCTGCATTTTTGTCAACATTCATAAAATCATCTATTTAACTACATTCTACCGCGGTGAAACCCCTAAAGATATTTTTCTGGATTTATAACATATTTTGTTTTTTTCCTTGAAATATTAACTCGGTGGGTACCTAGTTAACATTTGATGTAAACGAGTAGCTAAAACAAAAATTTGGTTACAATAATAATGATATTAATGATTAATGGAAAATATTGGACTGTCATATAATGATAAAAATGTAGCCAGAGACATTATTATGGCATGAATTTAAACTCGCTTTAGACTGCGTTGCCTTGGTAATGATTGAACACAACAACGGCAGACATTGTCAATTTGTCAATATAATACCAATCGAAAAGATACACGTGCTAAGAATATTTGCTTTGTTTGGAATTAGTTACTAATTATAAGCACATTATTGTTGTGGTTGGATTTAACCCTATTAATTAACCTATTTATTTCATTACGATGCAGCCAACTAAATTGAAGATATTAATGATTGGGCCATCAGAGGTAACAACTTAATCAATAAGTTTCACTCATAAAGATAACTTAATGATACTTACCTATGTAGTATTTTCTTATCATTTTGATTTATTTATCACTTACTAACATAGTGCACCGAGTTGTCGATACCCTCTTACTTTTATTCAATTAGTACCTTAAGTACTTATTCGTTGACTAACGTACATGAAATTCATTAGTCTATGTGGGAAATAAAGTATTTAAGTTTAATTCCAGAGTGGAAAGTCAAGTATAGCCAACTTTATCTCAGATTCAATCAATGTCGAAGAAGTCGAAACTCCTCGACCCACCCAAGGAGTCAGGATAGTAGAATTTGAACTTCCCAATCTGAACGTAAATGGGAAATCTACAAGTACGGATATAGAACTTTGGGATTGCAGCGGTGATCATAGGTAAGATAGATTATGATAACTTGCACTAATTCAATAATTAATGATGACCAGACTCGCATCTAGTTACAAATAGCGCCATCCATCGAAGGAAAGTTTCAACAATTACCTTGTTGACTGTAGATCAACAGGTCTACCTATTCATACAGGAACCTACCTTTGTAAAATCATTATACTTGTATGAGTGTTGTATAAGTAAAACTAAGACGGCAGTTCGTTCCTTTCACTTTATACGCAACTAGTTTTTTTAATATTACCTTTATAGCATACGTACTTATTTAGTTATTATTTATTTTGTCAAGATTTGAATCCTGCTGGCCGGCACTGAGACTGGGAGTTCAGGGAGTCATCCTGGTGTGTGCCCCTAACACTGCGCAAATAGCAGCAAGAGAAATGGAACTTTTATACAACTACTTCGTCTCACAACCCAAGCTATCTGCCAAACAGTGCGTTTTGTTTTACAACTGCACTGAAGATCAAGAAGATATGGATTCTTTAAATCTTTGTAAGTTTTTAAATCATAGATAAAAAAAACAAATGCCTTAATGTATTTTAATTTGTTTTAATTTTCTTTCAGCGCCTACTTTTTCTAAGGTTTCCCAAGTAGCTATTAACTTAAAAACTGGAGGCAGCCGTTTAAAAATAGATTTTGCCAGCTTCATTACCTCAGTTCTACAAATGATAAATAAAGACAATTCTTAACTCATCGTCGACTTTGATTTCTCTCGTGCATACTTACGTCATCCCAACATCCGCTGATAAGAAAACTAGAATACATCAAATTCATATTCATTTATTCTGGTTCTCTAAATGCATAAAGAAGAGGTCATCGATCAGTCATGTGGGGTTTCTGAAAATTGCACGCTCCTTTTATATACGTACTATACTTACTCTCATGCATTTACTGAAACATTAAAGCAGCATCACAATATTTAGGTATATTATGGCATTAGGTATACCTATTTGTGTTAAATAAATACTGAATCACAACTAACGTTCAACGGATACGACTTCACTTAGTTTATGTGTAAATAATCAGATTTTTTATAAAATTTCTATACGTTCGTTCGTTAACTCAAGTTCGAAAATCATGTCATTATTTTTTCGTCGTACCTCATTATTTTCGTTTTAAAAGTAGGTATGTATATGAATAAGTTGCCTTTTTTTAGAGGGGAAATGATCCAACGACTTCACCCGCGAGAGGGAGTGTCAGGTTCCTACTGACTAAAATGCGGCCGTTCCTTTTCTTCTTTGTTATGAAATCTTACAATAATATAATAATAAATATTATTATATTAATACGTATCAAAACCATGTGTAACGTGTTAGTATGATTATTTGTTTTAATATTTTGGGAACTATTTAATTTTTCTTGAAAACATTTTCCTTTGACAGAAAGTAGAATATGCAGTGTCTCATAAAAAAAACATGATTGAATTCCCCGAATTAAAAACAAAACGATAACTTTCATACAATTGCTAAAAATATACTCAAATGTGCAATCTAAATAGCTAATCGTTAGACAGATATTAATCTAAAAGGTAATGATATTTTTGTCCAAACTTATATTAATACATAAATAAATAAAAAATATTCAATATAAAGGTATAAAAATTAAGACATTGATAAAATATTTATAAACATGAATTTATTTTAAAGTTGAGTAGGCCCGTCTCTTCTATGATTTGAATACAATATTTACCTACAAAATTAACATTTCAACAATGCAGAGGTATTTTTATTATATTGCTTTGCCACTACGTCCGAGCATAGTATATTCCATCACATTAGTTAAATACAAAACTTAGTTTTTGTTGATTGTTAGAATCGAAATTATAATGTATAATGCTCAATGAAAAAAACTTATAAATCTCGACGCACGCACTCAGTCTTAAAACATTTGGCTCTTATATGAGTAATAATAATTATTTCAATAAACTTAATTCAGTATTTGATAAAATTATTTTACATAGATAATGATACTGAAATTGATCAATTACGCTACATAAAACGTATTTACAATACATTAATGGGACCTTTCACATTAAGCTTTATCAGGTAACCTAAACCTATAAACTACTAAAATACAACGTACCTATATATATATAAGTCTGTCATTAATAATATTATCACCTCAATCACATTTTGCTGCATGTGGAAGGAGTTTTCTAAATTAACTAAAATAATTTATTACGTTAACTTTATGATAAAAACAATCGAAATATGCATAACACCTAATTTCTATCATTCTTCCAATTACCACGATCATTGAAATTTTTTCTATCTCTATGCCCTCTACCAGAACCTCCGCGATTCCATCGGTCGTTACCACGTCCGCGGTGTCCTCCGCGATTGGGAAACCGGGGGTAATTTTGATCACCATCCATGAAATTAAAATCATTACCAGGGCCTGGACCATTATATGGCATATTCCCAAAGTTATTAGGTGCACCAAACTTATTAAAATTATGCGGTATGTTCGGCGCTATCCCGAGCAAACCAGGCGTGGGACCAGCCCGAGGATCTTGCATGGATTGATTATAGCCATGCATGTTACCTAAATTCATATTAGTCATACCTGCCATTCCCATAGGTGGCATATTCATCATATTCATGTTACCCCCATCCATTGATCCCGGCGGCCCAGCCATGTTGCTGTTCATACCAAATGACGTTTGATTAAAATTAATAGGAGTTTTTAGAAGGGCTTCTTTAGGTTTTGGCAAATAAGAATACTCGCCATTTTCATTTAAAGAGATACCCAAATTAGTAAATATACTACACAACACACTATTACCTTGTATAGGTGCTAAATCGAATTTCTTTCCGGGTAACCTTTCCTGTTGAAACTGTTTAATCATTTGGGTTACTGGTGCCAGGTTTTGGTTAACAAATATTTTTTGTGTAGAACTCAGTTCTTTATACCAATTGGAATTTTGAAGTATCGTTTGCAAATCTAAAGAATTAGACTTTTGATCTGGAAGAACGGTTTCAACAATGTCTTTAGGTTTTCTTCTTGGGTCAACTCGAGGTCCTGTAGGTGGCGCAGCAGCTGCAGGTTTACTTGTTGTTGACTTTTCACTATCACTATTAGACTCATCAAGAGATAATCTAAACACTTTTCGAAGTCTAGGATCAACTAATGCTTGCGACTTAGCTGTACTATTTCTGATATCTGTGTAATCTGGTCGCGGTATATCGATTAGAACTACTTTGTAAGGTATCGGCGGATGGCTGTTAATTGATCCGTTTATTTCTGAAGCAGGAGTGTAATTAGGGATAGGCTTAAAAGGCAAACCAAACCGAAAATCGACATCTCCACTAGTTTGACGCAAATCGGTATCGCCAAACGCAGGAAGATTAAAGTCAGATTTCCTTAAATCAACATCAGTTCTACGTCGGCCGTCGGTTGGCTCGCCATCAATACATTCATAAATAGATATCCTAGGCTTTTTAGTAGTCGTCTTATTAGATTCAGCTATTTTTTCTGGTGATCGTCTAGCTCGTGGATCTCGTGGTCTACTTTGGCTTGGTGACGCTGCTCCTTCTAAGCTATTTTCAACCTTATTTTCTTGCAGATTATTTTTCATAGTATTTAATAACTTCGTAACTTCTTCGCTAATAGCAATCTTGGAAAGATCTCCTAATTTACTTAATACAGCTGATGGCTCTATTACTTGCGGTGTAGATGCCTGTGGAGATGGGGATTTTATTTTCGGGGATGAAAGTGGAGACTTCTTTTTGGATCCTTTTTCTTCATCACTTGAATACCATTTCTCATCTATTAACAAATTGTTGTCTTCATCATCTGTAGTCGAGCGACGATGCCTTTTTTCAGGATTTTTAAACAATGGTTCTGGCTGAAGAAATCTTATATCTGTATCACATTCTTTCCTAATATCGTCTATATTAGACTGCAAAATTCTAGGGCCGTCGTCGGAAAACGGAAGAACTCTGTGATCGACGTCTTTTGATTCGTTAGAAATCACTGGTTTTTCCGATTCATACGCTTCATTTGAAATATCGATGTTTTCTTTGTCTTTAGATGCAAACTTTAGTGCATCTTTTGTGTATTGATCAATATCGATCATATCTTTACTGGTTTGTGATTCTTTTTGTGTAGCCTTGCTCGAAGATGTAGTATCGTCAGATGTTGGGAGTATTACAGACGGTTGGAATCGCATGTCAACGTCTTTTCCTGGTAAATCCGACGGCACTACTGTAGTATTAGATACAGGTATAGGTACAGGTGGAACCCTTAAATCTAAATCTTTTGTACCAGTAGTTTGAGGCATAAATTGTGGAGCCGCGTCATTGTTGGTATTAATAAGTCCTAACTTTTGAATATTCATTGTATTAAGTTGGATTTCTGTTATTTGTTTTAAAGATAAACCTATGCTATTTAGTTGTAACACGGTTAATTGGCCAAGTTGATCTAAATTTTCAATGCCCATTTTTGTGAGATCTAAAATTTGACGGGGTGTCAAAACTCCAGTCAAATTCTTGATACTCAATACATTTGTTGTTGTATTACTATTTGGCGAGGAGTTAATATTAAAATTCTGATTATTGGACATGTCATTTTGCCATCTCGACTGTCGTACTTTTGGTGAAATTTTATTTTGTCTCTCATTCATAAAATGGTTGCCTTGTAATGATTCTCCAGCAGCTTGTGGATTCGGTATGTTAAGTTCAAATAGAGATGGAATATTTTTGTCAGTGTTATCTGCAGCGTCAGAATATTGTTGCATTAACTTTGACTGAGTATTTTGCAACATTTTTAACGCTCCCTCTCTGTTAAGTCGCGGAAAATCTCCTAATATTTCTTTAGGAGCTGATTCTATATGTTTCAAAAGGATGTTTTTTAAACCTTCTGTTAAGGGTTTACCATGTGCGAATTTACATTCATCTTTGTATATACACGGAAGCCCAGTATGATAATATTTACACGGAAAATCAGCATGCATGTACAAACACTTATCTCTTTTTGCACAACAATCCATTAAGTAAAACTTGCACAGTTCCATTTTTCTCGGAGGCTGTGCATCGTGTGAATAAATGCAGTCATCGCCTTTATGACATTTGCCTTGCATGTAGTATAAACAGACACCGTCGGGGTCCTGCATTGGATGATTGCCTCTTCTCCTATCACTCTTATTGCTTTTATTACGTTCCCGCTGTCTGTTATGTCGCTGTTGTCGTTGGTGCTGCTGTCCCCTAGACTCTTGACTACTATCCGATGCACATGAATCTCTATCATCATCGTATACATCAACTGGAGACTGTCTATGCACTGGAGAAGCGCCCCTTACACACATCATTTCACTTTCATCCATCTCATCTGAAAAATCTTGCTTTTTACGTTTTTTACTTGATCCATCTTTGCTGTCATACTTCTTCCGTTTTTTGTGTTTACGACGTTCGTCAACGTCATCCTCGTTATTGGCGTCCATGCTTTCCATTTTATTCATAGCCTTCCTAATAGCTTTCTCAATATTACCAGCGAAATCATCCTCAGTGGGACTAGAATATTTACGACTCTTTTTACCTTTGTCCTTGAATTTTTGTTCCTTATTAGATTTGGATTTCTTTTTCTTACCTGATTTTGAATAATAAAAATCCTGAGAATCAGATTTTTCCGATGATATTTTATCTTCAGTAGTTGGTACAGCTTCTATGCCTTTTTCTTCAGACGCAATTTCGGTTGTTTCTTCG